CACTTAAAAAAATCTGTTTCTCTCTTTGCAAATCAACAACTTTTACCTAGAAACTCTCGGTGAGCTGAGTGATCTCGAGCTCCAGTCCGTTGCAGAAGATACACCATTGTTTACCTGGGGGAGGTGCGCACAGCCCGCCCAACCCAACTGCCAGGTTTCGGGGCTGCCGGCTGCTTTGCATCTGCCTGGAAGGAGCCGGCTCTGGGGCCCCACAGACACCTGCTGTGCCCTCGGCACCGGTGGACCTTTCTAGAAAAGCCCTCCGGGCCAGCGGCTCAGCACTCGCACACACGGGACGCCGGGTCCTCTGGGCTCCTGGTGTGGGTGTGGGTGGGGTGTGCTGTCGGGGCTGGAGGTCCCCACGCCTGCGGGACAGCACTTGCCCGCCCCCCCCGGGATGATAGCAGGTGTGGTCTGTCCTTACGTAACTCGGCGTCCCGCAGCACGTGCAGAGTGGCCGCAGTGACTCAGACCAAACTCGCATGGGCCCTGTACCAGCGACAGCCGTGGGGACCCCAAAGCGAGTGACACTCTGTGCCCCTTTTAGAGATGTGTTGCACGGCAATCGCACGGGGAGCGTGCAGTGCTGCTGACCCTCCGGGGCTCCCCGGCGAAAGGTTCCCCACAGTGCAGCGGCCTGCACACACACACAAAGCGCTCTGCCTACTCCCACCTGCCACCTGAGCTGGCCTCACCACCGGAGTGGGAAACTGAGGCCTGAAGGGGGCAGCAGCGGGACAAGAATCTACACAGAGGCCCCAACTCCAACATCCAAAAAGTGGCTAGTGCAAGCATCCCCTGTGCCCCCGTGGGGCTGGGCCCTACAGAGACCCAGCAAGCTCCAGAGATGCAGGCCCTGGGCGGACAGGCCAGCCGGGATGGGGTGACAGCCTGTCCTCGCGCCGTGCTTTCCCGGGTCAGCCGCTCCCTGCCAGCTCCCATTTCTCACCACGGCCTCCCACAGCCTCCTGCTCGGCCCTGTACCCACCAACGCTTCCTGCTTAGCCTGGTGCCCCACGGCAACTGCAGGGCCAAGTGTGACCAGGCGAGGTGGCCATCACCACGCTCCGGCTCGTGGTCTGCCAGAGTGGGAAAGGGCCAGGTCAGTGAGGGGCACAGAAGCATAATCCCTCAAACACGTCCCTCTGATCCTAGAACCCGGGGGGATCATGAGTTCAAGGCCAGCCTGGGCAACGGAGCGAGACCCTGTCTCAAAAGATAAGTAAGTAAGTAAATAAATAAAGTTTAAAAAGCAAAAAGCCCCCAAACACATGAGACGTGCCATGGGTGCTTTATAGTAGCAACTGAGGCACAGGAGCGGGGCCCTGAGCTCCCTGGTAAGTGCTCGGGGTGCTCCGGGGCCCGGGGAGCCCAGCTACACCTGCGCCTGGTGTGAGCAGCTCACAGCCTGCGGGGACAGGAAGCGGGGTGGGCGCAGGGACCAGCACGGAGCCCTGAAGTCACACGCCTCCCACCTGTACAGCCGGGGGTAAGGAGCAGGGAGCTCGGCCAGGACTGTACCTACCGCCCAGCAGTGTGTACAGCACGGGGCTGTCGCGCCCAGCCACCGCCTCTGTGAGAGAAGCAGAGGACACTGAGTCCGCCCGTCAGGACAAAACGTGCCTGCAGCTCTCCGTTACCCGCGGGGCCACACCAAGGCTGGCTCCCGTCCTCCTCCGAGAAAGGCCCGGCCACCTCACGTCCCCGGTGGGGAGGGAGAGGGGCACAGAGGTGGCCCTGCAGCACAAGGCCTCAGCACAGGCGCCGGCTGTCTGGAGACGCAGGAGGGGGACATGGGGAGGGGAGGTCAGCAGCAGCCCCAGCGCCCGGCCCGGGAAGGAGGCAGGGAGGTGGCATTTTCCATGAACCCCAGCAGGGTGGCCTGTGCCTGCTGGCTATCGAGGGGCAGTTCCTCCTCAATGCCCAAGAAACAGTACTGTTCTGCATGTGTGTGCACACATGACCACGTGTTACACATGTGTGAGCCCAGTGGCCCTGCACGTGGCCAGGCGTGTGCCACTGCACAATGCAGCGTGTGCACTCGTGACATGAGGTCCCTGCCAGTGAGCACTTGGGCATGCCGTCTGAGGTCACGCACACGCGAGAGCTGTGAGAATGTGCACGTGTGTGCACACACTGGCCGCACGAGTGGATGTGCGTGTGAGGCACATGAGCACCTGACGATATTCCTTCCGCAGAGCCCCGCTCCCCGAGGGAAGGCGTCCCTCCCGCGCCCACTCTGCAGTGCTCACCGGGCTCGCCAGCCCTCCCACCACCCACCCTGCAGTGGGTCCTGTGCCCGGGGAGCAGCCTAGCCTGCCAGGTGACAGGGACAGGCAGTCTGGCCACATAGCCCAAAGCCACAGGGCCTGCAGGCTGGGCACAGGGACATCGCTGGGCCACTCAGGGCTGTGACCAAGTGGCCACCGAAGGCAACTCAGGGGCTCACGCAGGACAAGCTGGGACTGGACGCAGCAGTGGCTCACTGCAGCTGACAGGAGGGCTCTGTCCTGGGCCGGCCTGGGGGCATGGTACAGGACCTCGCAGGTGACGTGGTGCCTGGGGAGTGGCCCGGAAGGCCAGGCCAGGGCACTGGTGTGACAGGTGCAGAGGGGATACCATGGTCAGGGCCTGCAGTCCACGCCGGCTGCCCAAGCCAGCATGGCAGCACCCCAGGGGCGGAGCTGGGGGCCCGGAGGATCCCACATGTGGGTCACCTCTCTGGAATCCACCCTGGGGGCACTCGAGGGCACAGGCCAGCCTGCCACCCCATGCACCCCACTACTCCTCTGGGCTCTCAGCCTGCTAGGGGCAGGTGGCACTCAGAGCGAGCCTGCAGGAGCCAGGTACAACAGAAAAGAAGGAGGCCGCACAGCCAGGGCACTGAAACGCCCGGGCAGGATGCAGGACTGACCACACGCAGCCTTCCGGGCTGCCCAGGATGGGTTGGAGGGGCGGCCGCACGAGGGGCACGTACTGACCGCTGGGCGGCTTGGGCCGCGGAGGCGCGGGTTTCTTCGGCGGCAGAGTGGGAGTGTCTGGTTTACTCTTAAAGGGGTCCTCCGAGGGTCCTGCCCCTGCCAGGGAGGAGGCGAAGGGGCCAGAAGGCAGGGGCTGCAAGAGAGGACACGAGGGAGGGAAAGGTCACTGCAGTGCAGGCCACCACCAGGCCCGGCTCTGCCCCACCTCGCTCTGCCCCAGTGCCAGCCTGCAGCGTGAGGACAGCTGGGGCTGGGCCGACAGCACCAGGCCCTCTCCGTGTCCCTGGGCTCGCATGGGGCCTGGGTTGTGGTCCCTCCACAACCCCCTCCACCTGGGCCTCACCCCTCAGCTCCCTAGGTGCCCAGGCAGGAGATGCCCGCTCTGTGCTGCTTCCCTCCGTCCTGCTTTACACACAGGGAAACTGAGGCACAGACAGGCTAGCCTGGATCTCTACCCTTCTCCAGGCAGAGAGACAACACCGCAGGCAGCAGAGGGCCGTCCCTCGGTTGGCAGGGTCTGCAGCTGGACCACCCGGCTGGCAAAGTGGCTCTCATCCACTGCCAGGTGGCCTCAGCCTGCCTGGAGCCGGGCTAGCGCCCACATGGCTGGGATAGAGCTCTGCCACCTGCTGCCCAAGCAGTGCCTCAGTCTCCACCCATCTTCATTTTCTGCACTGCCAGGGATGGAACCCAGGGCCTTGCACAGGCTGGGCAGGCACTGGCCCCTGCGCCGCAGCCTCAGCCCTTATTTTGAGATGCGGTTGCTAACTTCCCCGGGCTGGCCTTGAACTCATGGCCCCTGCCTCAGCCTCCTGAGCGGCTGAGATCGCTCCATCTTTCAACAGTGAGAGGTGGCAGCCCTCTCTGCAGGCTGTGACAGAGAAGCAGGCGATGGGCCAAGAGCACTGCGGGACTCGGCAGTCAAGCCCTTGCTGTGCTTTCACTTTCCACAGCGGTGGACACCAAGGTCCAAAACACTGCATGGAAAATTCCAGAGATAAACGGCCCCTGGGGGTTAAGTAGCTCGCTGCACTCCATTGTTACAGTTCTTCTGCTCCTGGTCCTCGTGGGCCATCGCTTCCTGTGCCCAACTTATAAATTACATGGGAGCAGAGCAGCGTCTAGGAGGCCGCAGGGCTTCGGGAAAGGCCGGGTATGTGGCGCGACTGAGTTCTCTCCGACCCCCACGGGAGGCTGCGGACACCCTGTGCACACCCTGCCAAGGGGACCAGCTGTGGCCAGCCAGGTGCCCGTGCAGGGGGAGTGGGGAGGGCAGGGCTCCGGGGAGGGCTGAGAGCCAGCACCCATCGGCAGCCCAGCCCCAGCCCCTCTACCCTCAGGGTCACGAGGCAGGGCCCGGGCAACAGGAGCCACAAAGGCCACGCCTGGTGACACCTGGTAACAGCGCTGCCCGACCCAGGCTGGCTGGCACCCCGTGGCAGCCCTCCCACAGCTCCCAGCTGCAGCCCAGCGGCTCCTCCCAAACTGGGCGGCTCCACATGGGCTTCCCAGAAGAGAAGCCCCCTTCAGGACGGACCCCTTCCCTCAGGGCGCTCGGAGGAGAGCTATTTTTAGGGAGGCTCCCTGGCCCGAGTGAGGTGTCTGGGAGAAGGACACAGGACTACTCTGCAGCCAGGCAGCCCTGGGGAGAGGGTGGGTGTGGTCCCTGCTGGGGAGGGAGAGCGAAAACAGCAGAGCAGTCACTAAATAGTATTAAGGGCTTTTTTGGGTGTGGGTGGGGAGAAGAGAGTGAAACATGTAAGTTCAGAGTCTTATTTTTGTTCTCGATGCGCTCCGAAAACATGTTTTGGGGATGTGTTTTTAAAGCAAGCAGTGCGGTCGAGGTCAGGGTTATCTAGCAACCTCGCGCGGGGGGGGGGGGGGGCGCCCTGGGCGGGGAGGGGCGCGTGCAGGCCGCCAGCCCTACCCCAGCCTGGGATGAGCCCCGCCCCGTGCCCTCTCGGGTGGGGGCTCCGGGCCGCCCTAGCAGAAGAAAGCGCAGAAGGCAAACACCCGTGGGGCGCACTTTCATTTCCTCCGTTTATTTATACCCCGTGTTGTTCTTGAAAGTCAGCGCGGCAGCAGTGTCCTGGCCAGGGCCGAGGGACGCCAGCCGCCCCAGCTCTGCGCCGGCTGAGCCCGGGGCAACAAGCAGGCGGGCAGCTCTGTTACCAGCGAGCCCCGTGGGGACAACAGGCAGAGAGCAGCCAGCAGGCAGGAGGCCTGGGGCAGGGGAGGCTTCTGCAGGAGGCGGGCAGGGCGGGTCTCCGCCCCCACCGGGCCGCCTCAGCCCGCTTGGACCTCCAGAGTCCAGTCCTCCTGTGGCACCCCCAGGAGGCTCTTGTCCCTGTCCCAGCTTGGCCCCACCGGCTCCCAGGGTGGAGCAGCAAGGGGACCCTTCCTCAGCTGGTGCCATGCTGTGGCTGAGGACATCAGAGCCGGGCACAGCCGGGCAGGCTACTCAGCCGCACTGCGGGTGGGCCGTGGGAGAACGAGAGCTCACTCGCTTCTCCGAAAGCCGGGTGCCAACCACAGCCGAGGCCCCGGGGCAGGGTGGGAAGGGGGGACCAAGCCACAGCCACCAGTCACCCCATCCCCAGGCCTACACCTGAGGGTCCGGCTACCTCCCTGGAGAGCAGAACCGGCCGACGTCTCCGGCCCAGCCGGTGACCGTGCCCACGCCCGCAGTGAGATGCAGCTGGCGGCAGGGCTGGAGGATCGGGTCGGCGTGCAGGTCCCGAGCGCGAACGAGCCTCATGGGCGGGGCCTGCGCGCCTGCGCTCCCTGCGGACGTGGGGGACACACGTCCCCCCACAGCATGGGCCCAGCGGGCCGGCCAGCTCCTGCCGAGCCTCTTGGCCACGTGGCCCGGGAGGGGTTGGGACCCTGCCTCCCCGTGTGTGCCGGGGGGAGGGGGATGGCAGGGGCGGGGCCTAGGCCTGGGCCCACCTCCTGGCTGGGGCCGGGGGTGCTGCGCTGTCACCACCACCCAGGACCAAGCACACCACGGCTCCCTTCCACCGACTCCACTCCCACAGGCGGGCACAGGCCGTCGCCACCGGCCCACAGCACATGCCAAGCGGGCTCCAGAGCCGTACCTTGGACATCTGGCTGAAGTCAGCGAAGCCCTCGGCACTGCTGAAGGCCCAGCTCCCGAAGGGGTCCAGGGTTCCGAAGGGGTCTGCAGGGCACAGCAGTAGGCTCAGCGCAGTGGCACGAGCGTGCTGTCCCAGCCTCCCTGCCGCTGCGCCTGGGGCTCCTTGCTGGCTGCCTGTGCTGTGGGAAGGCCGCTCTGGGAAGGCCCTTGGCCCACGGCACAGCCCGCCCACCTCGTCATGCCTCGGCCGGGAGCCAGCACAGGGGGAGGAGCCAGCTGGGGGCCCCCACACAGCAGACAGGGGCTGGCTGGGTTGCCCAGGCCGCCCTCACTCCTGCCTCGGCCTCCCGAGTAGCAGGGCTCAGGCCTCAGGGAGAGCTCACGCTGTACTTTCTCCTCGATTTGCCCGCAGCGGCCCCTGCCTGCCTGACACGGAGTGCTCCCGACCAAGGCACACAGGGCGCTGTGCCCAGTGCAGCCCCAAGCAGGGGTATGCCCAGGAGTGTGTGTGCGGGCTCATGCCGGGAGCCGAGGTGCCCCCTGACTGGGAACCTGCAGCACAAACCAGGGCCTGAGGTCACTGCAGACTCTAGGGAAAAACCCAAAGACCCAAAGCAAAGGTCTGCAAGAAGGAAGGAATGGGCGAGCAGCGACTAACAACGGCGGGTGCAGGCCCACGCCTGCCACCCCAGCACAGGAGGCTGAGGCAGGAGGATGCAAGTTTGAGCCTAGCCTGGGTAACTTAGCAACTTAGTGAGACCCTATCTCAAAATAAAAAGTAAACAGGGCTGGGGATGCCACTTGGCGTGAAGACCCTGGGTTCCACCCCCAGGACAGCCAACAGTGACAGCTGCCAACAGCTGTGGTACTATCCCTGGGCCCTGCCACTGCCTAAGGGGAACTGGCTCTGGCCACAGCTTTGGTGAGGGCTCCCGGGGGTGCGCTGGTGCTCACGAAGGAACGAAGCGGGGAGGTGGGAACAGGTGCAGGCCTCACCTGATCCTCTCGAGGAGACGCTGGAGGAGAAGGGGTCGCTGGACTCGAAGGGGTCGAGCTAGGGAGGGGAGAGGAGGAGGGAGTGGTCAGGCCAGGCTGGGGCAGGCACGGCCACCTGAGGACCTGGACCCAGACAGCAGAGCCGCCACCATGGCCGGGGCGCCTGGGAAGGGGACAGGGGACAGGGGACAGGGGACAGAGGCGGCGGCCGAGGCTGTCCCTGGGGGAGGACTGCACTGGGCCCTGGGACTGGAGCCTGCAAGGCTAGGGCGCATGGGAGCCGTCCCAGGCCGGCCCAGACCTGAGCAGCCCTGCAGGGCCAGGCTCCTGGCGTCAGGCCAGGCAGGAGGCCAGGAGTGAGAAACACCACAGCCCACAGCCGCCCTGCACCTGCCGTGGAGCCGGGGCAGGGAGACTCCATAAAGTGGAGGACACCTCTGAGGCAGCCTGGCCCTGGGCGTGGCCTCCAGTGCCACATTCCAGGGAGATTCCAAGTGGCTGAGGACCCCGTCTGTGTGGCCGTGCAGGTGTGCTCTGAGTCAGGGTCTCGCTGTGTGGGCCAGGCTGGTCTACAACTCCTGGGCTCAAGCGACCCTCCTGCCTCAGCCTCCTGAGGAGCTGGGGCTGCAAATGTGTGCCACTGTGCCCAACTGTGTGCCGTCCGTTTGCCTTCTCGGAGATGAAAGGGCAGTGGGGACAGTGGACAGAGCAGAGCTGAGGGACACAGAGGGACGGAGGGGACTTGGTCGAGCCCTCCTGGGTCAGTGTGATGCCAGCTCCCAGCATGAACCTCTGCGCCAGCCGGCCAAGTGGCTGCCTGACAGTACAAGGGCGAGCATGGGTCCCGGACACCAGGTCTGGAGAGCCTGGGCCAGTGTCACTGTCACCACAGCCCCTCACCCCATCACCCCATAGAGGACCAAGATGGAAAGATGGAGCTGGGACTCGCTGCACATGGAGGCTGCAGTGGGGAGGGCTGCCATCACAACCAGTCTCCCCTGCCACTCACCTTTGAAGGGAGGGATGAGGTCTTGGTGAAGGGGTCGGAGGTAAACGGGTCACTCTTTGTCTGCTTTTTGAAGAAGTCGTCAGGGGCAGAGCCACGGAATGGGTCGCTTTCTTTGAAAGGGTCCCCTCCGAAGGGATCTGGAAGGCATTCGGGACACTGAAGGAAAGTGCCCGTGAGCGGCGAGTCCCGAGGCCAAGGCAGAAAGCGCACCAGAGGGGACACTGTTCACTGTTCGCGTGAGGACAAGGGAGGCAGGACCACATCACGGGTGCTGAGGGGCACAGGGGCCTTGAGCGCGACGTGGAAGTCTGGCCTCCCATCTGTCAAACCCTCCCCGTGTCCAGGGGGCCGGGGCTGGGACCCCACCTCTTGCTGCGCAGCCCCTGTGAAGTAGCACCTGCCCCCCGGAGGACGCTGACAGACGCCTGGGCATGGCAGGAAGCGGGTCTGCGCAGAGGGCAGAGGGGGGCTGGGCGGGGACCGGGGCGCCGCCCTGAAGCCTGGCATCCTGCTGGGAGCCCAGGCGCCTCCTCAGGCTGAGAGAACCCTGGTAAGCAGGGGGGTGCCCTGCAGGGCACAGCAGTCCCCAGCAGGGCGGCGCGAGCCCCAGTGAGAGCAGAGGAGGCCACGCTGCTGGAGACAGGCAGCAAGCCCAGGGCACGGCCACCACCGAGGGAAGGGGGCCTGGAGCTGCTGCGCTCCCTGCCCCGCGGCCCAGGCAGCACAGGAAGGGACAGGCGCGCTACCTGGGGCTGCTGCCGGCTGCTCTGCGAAGGGGTCGCTCTGGAACGGGTCACCTGCGCGGCAGAGGACAGGCTGCTTGGCGCGGGCGCGGCCGGGCGCCTCCCTCTGCTCGTCCTTGTCCCCGCCCGCACCAAGTGGCCCGTGCCACTCGGGGAGCCCGGCTAGGACGCTGGGGGTGACAGGGAAGGCGTGGTGGGGCCGCGTGGGAGCAGCCACCCTCTCTCCCCGCCAAGCGTCCTTTAGCCTCGTGGGGAAGGACCCGAGGCCCTGGCGGGTCTGTCCTGGCGTCCCAGTGCCCTCCCCGCCCGGGCTGACGCCCGACACCCCTGGTGGCCTCCTCCCAGCCCAGCTGCTCCCCTGGAGCCTGTGTGGCCCTGGCACTGCAAGGAGCCAGCAGCGTGCTCCCACAGCCTCCCTTCGCTGTCACTGATGGGCTTGGGACGCTCAGCGGGGACGCTCGGGAGGAAGCCCTTCCGTGCACCCCACCTCGTGGAGACCCAGGGACTCGGGCTCCAGGCCGCTACCTTTGAAGGGGTCAGCGCCTTTGAAGGGGTCGGACTTGAAAGGGTCCTCAGCCTGGAAGGGGTCCGGGTGCAGGTCCTGGGTGTTGTTGCTAAATAACAAGGCTTTATTTTTGAAAGGGTCGTCCTAGAGCATCGTGGAGAAACAGGACAGACTGTTATTTCTGAATGGAAGCAAAGCACAGACTTCTAGCCTAACGAGCACCTCCACCTGAAGCAGCGCGACCCCGAGCTGTGACTGCACGGGGACAGGACGGGGGGACAGGACGGGGACGGCGGGCAGGTGGGCGGGCTGCAGTCTGTGCCTGTTTTCTGCAGCTCCACCACGGTTTGGTTCGCTTCAGACTGGAGCCCCACCGAGGGAGCCTGCAGGGACTCGAACTCAAGAGGGCCTGGGGATGTCTGCAGACAGCGCCGGGTGCAGGGTGCCGAGGGGGTGGAGGTCCGGTCTGCGACAGGGGAGGCTCGGCTGGGGGCGGTGGCGCTGGCTATGCAAAGGTGGCTGATTAGTGCCCCAGAGCTTAGTGCTCAAAGTGGGGAAGGCCATGTGTTCAAGTGTTAGGCCTATCCTACCAACATTAAGGTTTTAAAACTTGGGGGCTTTTAGAGCTGGGCCCAGTAGTGCCTGCCTGTAGTCCCTGCTCTCATGAGGCTGAGGCAGGAGGATCGCTTGAGCTCACGAGTTGACCGCCTTGGACACACAATGAGACCTCGTCGGGGCGGGGGGGAAAGGAGGGAGGGAGAGAAAGGGAAAGAAGAGAGAGGTACCCAGGCAGGTAAACGCAAGTCAGAGGCAGAAAGTGACAATGATGAAACTGTCACAAAGGCATCCCCAACAACCATGGCACTGGCCTCACCCTAGAGGTGCAACTTCCTCCCTGTCCTGGCCTCAGCAAACGTGCACCTACGTGGGCGTTTAAGACAGTCCCTAGAGCCCAGCATGAAGGGGCAGCCTGTGATCCCTGCACTCCAGGAGGCTGAGGCAGGAGGGTCACAAGTTCAAGCCCAGCCTGGATAAGTTAGTGAAACCTTGTCTCAGAATTTACAAAATCAGAAAAGGGCTGTGGATGTAGCTCAGTGCAAAGGCCCCAGGCTCAACCCCCTGTGTTAAGAGAAGAAAAATTATACGTATACATAAAAACACACTTCCCCTGCCAAGAAGCAGGCTGGCTGTTCCCACTCGGTGAGGAAACGAACACTCATGCAGTTGCAGTTACTAGAGCGTGTACAGCACTTTGCATTTTTTTTTTTAAAGTGCTTATTTCTAGAAGCAGGCAAACATATTCAAACCAGAAGAAAAAAATACTGATTTCTGAAGAGCACATTTTCGCAGCGGGATGCGGCCCAGGGGCGGGGGCAGCCCTGTCCAGCTCCATCAGTGCTGGCCGGGCTGGACAGTGGCCCGGCATCCGAGCTCCCAGAGCCAGTGATAGGAGGCCAGCCGCTGAGACTGTGCGCACATGGCTCAGGGCGGCCTGGAGGCCGGAAGAAGTCCCTTCCCACGGCTGCTTGTGCCCAGGACGGAGGAGAGATGGGTGCAGCAGGCTCCTGGAGGCCCAGAGGCCTCTTCCTCCGCTGCCTGGAGTGGTTTCCTTACCTGGGCTGGGAAACCAGGCCGCTCTCCAGAGAGCCAAGCAGATGGGGGAGTGTAGTCCGTCCAGTGGGGTGCAGTGTGGTGTCGGGCACAGAGGATGGTGCTGGGAGGCCCTAGGGCCCTGGATGGCCTCTAACAGAGCCAGGGATGAGGCGCAGGCGCATCCCAAGGATGGACAGACATGCTGCGGGCCTGGGAGAAGCCACGTGTTTCAGAGGGGCTGGTACACGGAAGACAAGGGCTAACTATGCGGCGGCAGAGCAGGGTGGGACCTTGAGCTGTAGCCCATGAGAGGCCATGGCTTCACCCCCAGCTCCGCAGAAAAGGAAAAGAAGACACAAGCAGGGTTCAGGCCTGGAAGCGCGGTTTTCACTCCATTCCTTGGACTGAGTTGAAAACGCGCTTGCCCTGTGAGATGGGCACCCTGACTCTGCCATCCCAGGGCCACGACCGTGGGGAAGTGACCGTGCCAGCTGGCACAGTAAGTGCAGACAGAGTGGTTCTGGCCCTAGAAGGGTGTCCCGGATGAGCCTATCTGGGAGTGGCGGTGTGCACGAGCACACGTTAAGATGGCCCGGCCCGCCGTGTGGCGGCAGCCAGTGGACGGACTAGGATAGGCCCTGAGAACGTGACAAGCCTCCCGCTGGACAGTGAGCGGGTGCTGCACCTCGGGGTGCATTCTCGTCACTGGGCTGGGGAGGGGACAGGACCCTGCACAGAGCTGGGCCGGGTCCCTGTGCAAAGCCCAACCCCAACAAGACAGGCGGCCCGACCGTTGTGACAAGCCCCACAGGCCTCAGCCTGCACCAGACAGTGCACTGGGTGCCGAGCAAGAGGCCAGACAGCCCAGAGGCGAGTGAAGCATGCTGTCGGGGGTGGCTCAGGGCAGCTGGACACCACTGTCCAGCTGCAGCACCACAGAGGGACAGAGAGGGCGCTCAGAATCCTACAGCTGGACCAGGCGCCATCACAGAGCCAGGGGCTACTGGCTGGCCCTGGCCCTTCTCAGGGAGCCTCGCAGCCCCACTCCGAAGAGAGGCGCAGAGCACGCAGATGCTGCCGTGAAGACACCCTGGCCAACGTGTTTATTAAGAAATGGAAACAAAGCCCAAAAGGTGCTTCAAAACTGTATTTGTTCAAGGAGATAAACACAGCTCTTCTCCCGACACAGCTGCGGGCTTCTGCGTGACTGACGGGCCTGACGGCGTCTAGGCCCAAGGCTCAGTGGCTACGGTGTAAGCTTCGTCGTTCAAAGATGAACAAGAACAATGGGAAAGGTGAAGAAAAGAGGGAGTGGGCGGAGAATCACTGCCACCTGCAAACTGTCACTTCACAGCCAACGTCTACCTAAGGACGCGGGACACAGCACAGTCGGGGCAGCGCTAGGGAAACACACCAAGGACAGGGGGCAAGCGCTGGGGAGCTCAGAGGACTGAGGTGGACGGAGAGGCTGGGAAGGAGGCCACCCGTCTCCAAGCCCACACACGCAGAGAGCAGCCCGAGGACAGTAGAGATGGGGCGCCGAGAGCACCCACAAAGGAGCCTGGGGAGGCCTGTGCTTCCCCATGCACCTGGCACGCGGAGAGCAAGCGTCCAGACAAGAAGAAGCAACCCTGTGCTCGGAGCGAGGCCGTGCCCTCCCGCAGGCCAGAGAAGGAATCCCGGAAGCAGACAGGGCCGAGCAGGGGCTCGGGCGCCCTGGGAAGAGGAGCTGCCAGCGGCCAATGACACACGCGCCTCGGCCGGGCTGCCCCTGCCGACCGCACACCCACTCCAGGTGACAATCGGAGGATGGGGCGTCCGTAAGGGCTGGTGGCCGCCCATTCAGTACAGTGCCGAGGTTGGAGGGGTCGTCACAACCCAGGGTCAACATGCCCCGGGCCACTGACGCTCATCTGCCTTTGCTGAGTGCCCTGCGGGATTGGGGGTGCGCGCAAGCACACCCCAGCCTGTGCGTGAAGAGCCCGCCCACCCACACCGTGCCCGGGGCCCTGCCCAGGGGCTGACGGCACCGCGGACACTGGAGGGGGTCGGGTCCGAGGGCCCGTGGCCCTGCTCTCATGCGGGGAGCGCCAGCGGGGACAGGGTGGCGCGCTCTCACTCGACCTTTACCATGGCTCCGAAGCCACCCCTCTCGGCCAGGGCGACACCTTCGCTGAGGGCCGCCAAGTCGGCCAGGCCCGCGCCGTCCAGCGCCTTCTCGTACTGCTCCAGGCTGCGCCGCGCGTCCAACCGGCTCTCGTGCAGCTGGGACAATTTGCTCCGCGTCTGCGCGACAGACATGGCCTCAGGCACAGGGCCTCAGCCGGGCAGGGCACTCTCCTGACTTCCTGGCTGGCTGCCAAGAGGGACCACGGTCACACCAAGGCTCCTGGAGGGAGCAGACAGCCGGGCCCGGACTCGCTCCTGCTCCAAGTGCGCCAGCAGCCTGTCCTCCTGGGTGGCCGCCCCGCCCCGCCCCGCCCTCCCTTGCTTCTCCCCCACAGGCGGGCTGAGGGCCATAGCTGAGGGCGTCCCTCCCTGCGACAGCGCCTGCCTGCAGAGCCCAGAGGGCGCAGAGCACCATCTGTGTGACGACGTCCTCTGCGTGCAGGCACCTGGCTGATCTCATCCTCCGTGGACTGGAGGGACTTGAGGATGGTCTCCAGCTGTGCGCGCCCCGCCTGGATGCTCTGCTCCAGCTGCGTCTCCTCCTGCTGCAGCCGGCTCAGCTCCGATTTGGCACGATTCAGGTCATCCTCCTGTGACTTCAGGTCGGACTCCTGCGACTGGATCTGGGTCTTCAGCGAGGAGATCTGGAGTGGGACCGGAGGGAGCAACTCCAACACCAGGCCACCGGGCCTCGGGGCGGGGGGGGGCGGTGTCGGACAGCAAGCCTGGTGTGCTGCCCACTGCCACCCCGGCTCCTCGGGAGGAAGACAGCAAGGCCCAGCCAGGCCTGCAACTCGGTGGACCTGTCTCAGAACAGATGGCCAGGGTGCAGCTCCACGCACGCAGCTGAGAGGCCCTGGGCCTCGTCACCAGCACCATACAAAGCCGCGGGGGACACAGACAGATCCCAGCATGCCAGGTCACACCGACACCCTCGGGGCGGAAGAGGGCGCTTCCGCCTTGGGACAGCCCAGCCAGCAGCCGCCCACCTGCCCTCAAGCAACACGGCAACCAAGACAAGCAGATGCATCCAGGCCCGCACCTGCACCTGCACCTGCGACCATCCCAGGAGCCCCCGAAGGGCCAGTGGGGCTGCCCCATAAGGAGCAGCGGGGATGCCGCGGAGGTGCCAGGCCCCTCCAGACAGCCCCAAGAAGGTGGCGGGCAATGGGCTGGGCTGCCTGTGACTCACCATCTGCGTCTCGTCCTGGCACTTCTGCCGGACATCACTCAGCATGTCCCGGAGCTTGGCCTTCTGCTGGTCCATCTCGTCCAGCCGGTCCTGGGCATCCTGCTTCTGGGCCTCGAGCTCTTGCAGACTGCTTGTCTCCCGGTCCAGGTCGTTCTGCAGTTCCTGGGAGAGGGGGCAGGGGCTTCAGAAGAGTAACTGGGGTGTCCAAGAGAACCCAGTATAAAAATGCACACCAAAAAACAAAAAATAAACAAGATCTCCTTCCTTTGGGCAGGGGATTTAGCTCAGTGGTTCCACCGCCTGCCTCTCAGGTGCAAGGTCCCAAGTTTGATCCCCGGTACCAAAAAAAAGAATATTTTCTCTTAATCATAATTCCTTATATTTGGGCCAGGGGTTTGGCTCAGTGGTTCTGTGGCCTGCCTTGCAAGCGCAGGATCCTGAGTTCAATCCCTGGTACCAAAAACAAAACAAAAAACAAAATGCACACCAAGTGGGCGTGGTGGCACATGCCTATAATCCCAGCACTCCAGGAGGCTGAGGCAGGACTGAGTCCTAGCCCAGCCTGGGCAACTTACAGAGACCCCGACTCAAGGTGAAATGTGAAGGGCTGGGGTACAGCTGGCACATGGCAGGCTCTGGGCTGCAACCTGAGTCCTGGCACAGACTCGGCCCCACTGCATGTGCACTGGCTGGCCGCCAGGAAGAGCGAGCCGTGTGTACCTGCACCTCGCTGGTCTTCTGTCTGATAGCCTCCTCCTTCTCTCTGATGTCCTGCTCCAGGGAGTACTTCTCTCTGAGTGGTGGAAGCAGTTCACAACAAGAGTCAGCCACCGCCACAGCAGGCGACTGAGCCCAACCTCTCTGCCCACGAAGGCCATCCGTGGTGGCAGAGGTCTCAGAACGACACCGTGACCTCTCGCCATAGGTGGCTGCATGGTTTGCACGTGCCCTGCTTGTGTCCCTGTGTGTGGTAAAGTGGGGGCCTCGGGTGGCTGGGGCAAGAGGACCAGTCACGGGTGCGGCCTAGGAAGACTGACGCAGCCCCGCAGGGCCGGCCGGCTCCATGAGACCCGGTCACCAGCTGCTATGGCTTGCGCCTGGATGTCCCCCAAAGCCTCATGCAGATGAGGGGGCTTTCTTCTCCAGCGGTGGCTGGGACTAAGGGTGTGTGAAGACTAAACCACTACATGGGAGTGAGTGGTCTGGGCCCACCCTAGTCCAGGTAGTCTGGGTGGGATAAAAGGGCAGGGAGCCACCATTAAGGTCTCTTGTAGGTTTGTGTCTTCCCCCAACATGAACTGTTGCTGCTCTGCTGCCCTGCCTTGGAGCCAGATGATTATGGACTGAAACCTCTATGAACTATAAGCCAAATAAACCTTCCACCTTTAACTTCGGGTGTCTGATATTTTATCTCAGCAATAACAAAAGTAACTAAGATAACATCAAAGAAGGGCCAGGATTTAGCTCAGTGGCACCACCCCTGCCTCCCAAGTTCAAGGTCTTGAGTTGGATCCCCAGAACTGAAAAAAAACCGAGACAGCACCCAAGGTGAGCCAAGTCTGTCCTGGCCTCCCGTCCACCATGTGGTCTGCCAGCCATCATGATGCCACCTGCCCACATGAGCCCTCAGAGGCCATGCAGGGCCCCAGGACACTGAGCTAAGCCTTTTCCTGGGGCAGCAAATAGCAACCATCTGCCTGGCCAGGCAGCCCGGCAACCAGAGCACCTTCTCCATCTGGTAACCAGGCAGGGCCTGGAGTGCCAGGCACAGCTGAGCCGTCGATAACCTGGAATGCGGGCCACGCAAGGAAGAGCCTTGGGCCAGCAAAGATGGGGAGCTTGACCAGGCCGCGAGGGGCTCAAAGCAGGGTCCTGGCCCCAGCTCCGCCAAAAGCCTGCCTGGGCCTCGGGCCTGGCAAGGCGATGAGCTCACACCTGTGCTCCCACCTACCCCATCCAGGGCGATGTCACGGCCAAGCGCCGAGGCCCCTGTGAACCCCAGGCCCTTGCTGCCCGAGCAGCCTGGTCTGAGGACCCGCTCTGGGCGGTGTGGGAGACCAGGGACGTGAGATGACAGACAGTGGTCAACGAGGGCCAGAGAGCACCCGAGGACTGCCCTGCCAGGGTGGCTGGGGAAGGGGACCCAGGGAGGAAGGACGTGTTGCTGACGGGCAGAGCTGAGCTGGACTGGGGGCTGCAGTGCCAGGTCCGCTGAGGGCGGGGGAGGGCGGGGCAGGCGCTGTGAGGTCCGGTCCGGTCCGTCCCTCCCCGAGTAGGTGAGCTGGGGTTATGGGAGCCGAGTGGGACGAGCGGGGCTCGGGAACGTGACAGGCCCACTCCCACATCCCCGGGGTTGGGGGTCTACGCACCTCTGCAGCTGGGCGATCTCCTGGCTGATGTCATCAAGCTCCTTCACCCCAGTGAACTCGCCAGACCCCAGGGAGCTCGCACTGTCCTGGGGGAAACAGGTGCCACATCAAGCAGCCAGGCGGGGACCCAGGCAGGGACCCAGGCGCAGCGCGGGCCGCCAGCGCCCCCTGGTGGCGGTGTGGGCAGTGGCGAGTGTGGAGTCAGCTACTCACCAGGACTGGGGTCCCTCGCTCCGAGGGCGGGACCATGTCTGGCGAGAGCGCTTGCGGGGGGTCGACGCCCTTACTGACCTTCTGCTGAATGAGGTGCATAGCAAGCGCAAACTGGTCCTTGCTCAGCTTCCCCATCTGCCTCGTGTCTGCCAGGGCCCTGGGAGCGCGTGGGGACGGTTAACCCCGAGCTGCAAGGACCCCAGCTCCCAACCCCTGGTGGGCGGCCGCGGGTCTGCAGCCCTCCTGCAGGTGTCCACTCCTCGCGGGGGCCGCTGTGTGACGAGGAGCCCTGCGGGTGGTGAAGTCCGGGGCCCCTTCCAGAGGGGGAGCGCGCCCTGCCCGCCCGCCCGCCAACCCGCCGTGAAGCATGGCCCGGGTCCTCCGCACAGCACATGCCCCGCAGCTGCCTCCCTGCCACAGGGCTTTCCAGCCCTGCTTATTCTTTGAAGGTGCCCGGGTTGGCGCCAAATCGTGACCCTCACCCCCCACCCCACCCCACCCCGGGCTGGGATCAGCGATCAGCAGGGAAGCCACAGCGCCCAGCTCCGCAGCTTCCCCAGGTGAAGCCAGGAAGCCGCGGCACCTACGTGGCAGCGGGCGGGGGCAAGGGCGCCCACCCAGCACCCAGGCGGCAGGCACGGAGGCGCTCGGCACGGGGTCCCCTCGGCGCCTGTCCTGCTGCTGCCTGCGGACACCTGACTGCCCTTCACAAGGAGCTGCGAGATGGCTCCCCTCCGGGCACCCACAAGCTCGCACTTCCAGGCCCCTGGGCCCCTCCCTCCCTCCCCGCCGCTGCTCTGCTCAGGCCAGGGTGGGGGCAGAGGGAGCTTGGGCGCTGCCGGCCTCCCCAGGGTCAGTCTAAGGCTGACGGCCCTGGGTAATGGGCCCATTTCACTGCTCTGCTCCTAGGTTCTCTTCTTTTTCTTTTTGGAACTAGAAGGTTGAACCCAGGGCCTTCCCACTGAGCTACATCCTCAGCTTTAATATTTTTATTTTGGGACAAGGTCTGAGGCCGGGCATGGTGGCAGAGGCCTGTAATCCCAGCACTGTTGTGAGTTCAAGGCCAGCCTGAGCTACACAGTGAGATCCTGTCTCAAAAAACCAATAAACGCCTACCTCACAAGTACAAGGTCCCGAGTTTGATCCCTGGTACCAAAAAACCCCACAAAACACCCAATATGAAAAGAGAAAAAGGAAGGCATCAGTCGCCTGGGCTGAGCTGGAATATGCAACGCTGCCTCAGCCTCCAGTGTGCTGGCCATGGAGCCAGGCAGCGGCCCTGAGGGCCAGACGGGCACTTGGACCTCCAAGACGCCAGCCTCCTGCTCACCAGATGTGGGCCAGCAAGCTCTGCGTGAGGCCCGAGTGCATGAAGATCTCCTTCACCTCCTGGCCACTCACGTAGCCATCCAGGTCCAGGTCGGTCTTCAGGAAGATCTCGTCAAAGCGCATCTTGTCAGCCACTGGCACTACCCAGGCCACCGCTGGCTGCAGGGGTGGAGGTAGCTCAGCAGGCACTCCCACTGTGGGTGAGCCTGTGACATGAGCTCCACGAGGCCAGCGGGGCAGGCAAAGCCCTGAGCACAGGGGGTGCAGACTGTCCCCAACACCCCACTGCCCACAATCAGGCACGGACAGGGGCTGGTGGCCACCTTCCCTGAGGGATCCTGCCCGGGCAGGCAGCTCAGCAGGCTGCTGGGTGCCATGGTGCCTTCTCCACCCCAACCCAGCCACTGAGATGAGGACCCTCCACACCCCTTAGGTGTCCCCACATGTCCCTGGGGGACGGGACAGACGAGCAGATGCCCGGGGCCACCTCAAGGCCCTGCTGCCAGGGTTCTCCAGCTTCCTCAGGGCTGTCTGTGCACGGCCATGCGGCAACCTGGAGGGCTGAGGAAGACTGGAGCTCCTGGCAGAGGACACCTCCTGTCTGCACCGCTCTGGCATGACAGCCCCCGGGCCAGCTCTGATGCCTCTTCTAAACCCCAGGAGCCAGGTGCAGGGTGTGCGCCTGTCAGCCCAGCACTCTGGGAGGCTGAGGCAGGAGGACTTCGAGACCAAACCCAGCCTCGTCAACTTAGTGAGACTATCTAAAATCAAAAGGGCTGGAGTGCAGCTCAGTGTGAAGGCCCAGCGTTCCGTCCCTAGTGCTGCACAACAGTAGATCAACTGCCCTAGCGACAGCAAGCCTCCTGGCACATGCTGGACTGGGACACCCTCAGCACTGGCGTCCCCACACTGAGGCTGGTGGGACACGGCTGGCTGCCTGTCCTGTTTCTGCAGCGACAGAGGAGGCTGAGCACAAAGCTACCTCTCTCGCAGTTCTAGATCTCCATGTGCCCTTCTGCAAGGCTGTGGCAGCACAGCACGGTGCTTGTGCCCAACACTGCTGGCCATAGCCCCTGATGCAAGCTCCAGACCGCAGGGCACAATGGGCACTGGGTGAGGCCGCTGTGCTGCCCGTGTGCAGGAAAGCGAGTGGGACAGGCCTGCACGTGTGAGGCAGGGCGCACATGCGCATGAGCGTGCGCATGGCTGGGGGCTGCTCACCCCGAGGCTGTGTGTAGCCTGCAGATCCCACATGTGGCGAACGGAGCACACAGTGCCCTCACACCCGATCTCGGTGGCCGTACCTGCGCCTGCTTGAGGCTGTGCTTGGGGGACAGGCTGCCTGTGCTGTTGAGGCTGCTGACGCTGCCATGCGACGGTGTGGAGCGCAGGCTGTCCTTGGGTGGGGGGCTGCCGGGCAGCACGGGCACAGCCCCAGGGAACACTGGCTTCTTGCGCTTGGACAGCGGGATGAGCGACAGGGGCAGGATGGACGGCACCGGCTCCTTCTCCAAGGCCCGGTACACCAGGTGCATGGCCTGCAGGCACAAGGGACAGGCACTGTGGGGGCCGGACCCGAGCAGGGTAAGGGAACTTGTCGGAAGCAATGACAGAAAAGTCTGTTTTAAGTCAGTAACAGAAACAAGCCAAAATCACAACTGTCCCCCTTCCAAACAGGGTTTTGGTGTTTGAGATGGCTCAGGGGCTGCTTTCAAGGATGGATACCCAGGCTAGCCCCAGCCTCCTGAGCAGCTGGGTCTGAAGGCCCAGGCCACTGTGCCTGGCTTCAGGTCAGGTTTTAGCAAACAGCTAGTGGGGAATGAAAGGCAGACTGACAGCACTCAGAGCCAGTCACAGACCAACACGGATCCTGGCGGAAATCCCGAGCAACAAAACAGAAATGGAGACTCAGGGCTCAGGAGGCCAGGAGGGGCAGGCCCGCTCCTGGGCGCCCGACCCCAGGGCTGTGTAAGGACAGGAGCAGCTGAACCCAAGTACAGGCCAAAGAAAAGGGAATGCAGAAGGCGGGCTGAGGGGAGACCAGAAAGTCCCGGAGGTGGACAGTGGTGGCATCTGTGGGCCGTGTCCGTGACGCCACTGGACTGCACACCCGAAGTTAAGATGGCAAACTCGACTTCATGTCTTTTTACCACCACAACAAAAGAAAAATATCTTTACAGATGGTCAGAATGGCTGGGCATGAAGGTGTGTGCCTATAATCAATCCCAGCCACTCAGGAAGCTGAGGCAGGAGGATCCTAAATTCAAGGCCTGCCCCCCCGACCAAAAAAAACTTAGGATGGTGAATTTTATATGATCTGTATTTTGCCACCAAAAAAAAGAATTCAATAAAGGAAAACCAGTGAGAAAAAGATGATGGGAGAAATGTAGAAAATGCTCCCAGTGCTAAGGCAGAAGCCAGCGGATGGGGCTCACGGGACAGCCGTGACCTGGCCTGGAGTGTGGGCCTGGGGCCTCACTTCCTCAGACAGCTCAAAGTTGGCCCCAAAGCTTCGGTCACAAAGGCTCTGCACCGCCACCACCGCCCCTGAGGAAGGCAATCGCTCCTCACTGCAAGCTGTGCTGACGAAGATGGGTATAAGAATTGATTCACTTTTCACAGACTTTTATTAATCAAACCTATGCATATTTGGGGAGGAGGGGATGGGAAAAAAAGAGGCAGGATATATCATGTTTGGGTGCCAATCCCCATGATGAGTGCTACTATTGTGTATGTCTGAAATGTACCAATAAAGGTTTTACCAAAACAAACAAACATATGCAGACTGATTACAACTAAGAGAACAAATTTATCTCTTTCACTCTTAGTAATATGGCTCTTTTTGTTATTGTTTGTTTTTTGAGACAGGGTCCCACTGTGTAGCTCAGGCTGGCCTTGAACTGTGATCCTCCTGCCTCAGCCCCCAGAGTGCTGGGATTATTAGCGTGCACCACCACGCCCGGCTTCACTCTTAGTAATGTGAAGTAGAAGTACCTTACAAGAATTATGTTTTCCAAAGGGTGTTAATGGCTTCAATTCTCCCTAGCTCAGGGCAGATCTTCTGCCTGGTCACAACTGTCCTGAGCAATCCTAGGAGGCCCAGTTTTGTTGCAGTGGTTTTTGGTTTTGCTTTTTTATTTTTTGTACCAGAAATCTCACTTGGGACCTTACGCTTGCAAGGCAGGCACTGGAACCACTGAGCTAAATCCCCGGCTCTGGTTTTTGTTTTTTTGAGACAGGGTCTCACTATGTAGTCCAAGCTGGCCTGGAATTCACAATGGCCCTCCTGTCTCAGCCTCCCGAGTGCTGGGATGACAGGCACGCACCACCATGCCTGGCAGGAATACCTAGTTTGATGCAATGTCACCAATAAACCCTGTGACACAAAGGGTGATGTTGTGGTCATTAATGTATTTTGGACTGAATTAATTCAATTATTACTCAAATCGGCACTGTCCTGGCCCACGTAGGGTGGCCGAACTGCACTGGGACGTGCTGCCTGCGGGAATGGCCTGCTGCCAGCAGAGAGGCCCGACACGGCTCTGCTCCAAGTCTGTGTCCCCTGGGTTCCCCAGCGGCACAGCAGGTTCAGTCCTTGACATTGGACAATGGCTATGCGAGGAGGCTCCCTGTGTTCAAGAAATACACACACAAGTATTTCGGGACGAAACATGATGCCTGCAACTTAACTCTAGAACAGTTCAGCTGAAAACGTCTTTTCTCCTTGTAGCTCTAGAGATACTACCCATGACCCAAACATACTGGCTACTCTCCAACGGAGCCACATTCCCAGCCCTTTTTAAAAATTTCATTTTGAGTCAGGGTGGGTCTCGATAAGTTGCCCTGGCTGGACTCAAACTTTCCATGCTCCTGCCTCACCCTCCGGAGCGCTGCGACCACGGGCGTGCAGTGCCTGGCCCGGCTAAGAGACACCCCTGCCCGTGCACACAGATGCGCTCTGAGCGGGGAGGGCGGGCAGAGGCGATTCGGGCTGGGGACCCTGGCAGGGGACTGTGTGCAAAGCCTCTCTGTGACCTCGGGCTCTGTGGCCCTGAACAGCTTTGAACACACAGAAGCCCGAGTGGCTGCGGGAAGGAGAGGGGCCTACCACAGCGAACTCGTCTCGGTCCAGGTGCCCGTCCTTGTCAATGTCGCTGAGGTCCCAGACCTGTGAGGCAGAGCAGAGTGGACGTGACCCAGGGCCCAAGTGACCGTGATGGCGAGCGGGGTGGGCCAGGCGGGGCCGTGTGCCTGGGACTCAGGTGCGGCTGTCCTGATCTGCCCACGGTGTCCAGGTGCCCCACGAGCGCCATGGTTCCCATCGTGTCTGGGGTCTACAGAGCAGCACGCGACTGGAGAGGCAGCCCCACACCAGCCCCTCATGCGTGGCCGGCAGGGCTGCGGGCGCCACTGTGTCCTTGGGGCTTTGGCTGTTGCCTAAGACCACGCGAGATGCGGCCAGGGTCAGCTGGGGACACTGGGAGCTGTGGCCGCCACCAGGTGGGGCAGTGGCTCCCCTTCTCTGCCAGCCCTCACCACGTAGCCAGGAGCTGCCATGCACGGATTCAGCCTCCAGCTGCCCAGCCAGTCTGTCACACTGGCCTGTGTCATGCAAACAGGCCAGGGTCTCCACACTGGCGAGGGCGCTCGCCCGGGCCCCACCTGCCTTCATCCTGCCCTGCCCGCCCTGCAGGGCACCAGGGTACTGGTGCTCAAGCAGCCTCACCACCCCAAGGGTCCCAGCCAGGGCCTCCAAACTCCAGGGCAGCATTCTCTGTGCCCACCAGATGCCACAGGCCTGGCCCAGGGTGGCAGGACTGCCACACAAGCAGCCATGCCTGCAGGGGCCTCAGCCTGAGGTGGTCTGGCAGCTTGCAGGCTCCCTGCTGGGTAGGCTGCACGCCGTAGAGGCGGAGAGGCTGCCTAGGGACAGCACCGCTCAGGCCTCTGCAGCCCAGGTGGCCCTGGCTTCTCCTAGGAGAAGTGGGGGCTGCACAGGGCCCACAGCAGGGCCAACACCTCAACCTCCTGGCTGGGTCTGTGACACCTGCACTTGCTCCAGCCCTTGGCTCTCTCCACCCCGTCCCGACTCTGTGCCACCTCGCAGCTGAGAGGCCAGGGCTGCAGACCCACGGCCTCCACCTGGACCCAGCCGGGGCGGGCTGTGGCACAGCACACTGCAGCCACCCCTCACGCCTCACCCGACAGCTGCCAAAAGTCTTGGCCACAAACTGGCTTCGAGGGGTTTTGTTTTCTTTACAGATACTGGGAGTGGAACCCAGGGCCTTTGCACTGAGCTGTACCCTAGCCCTTTTTATTTTTTGAGACAGGGTCTCACTGAGTCACTAAGTTGCCCAGGCTGGACTCTGATTTGTAATCTTCCTGCCTCAGCCTCCCAGAAGATGAGATGACAGGTGTGTGCCACCGCACCTGGCTGAAGTTCTATAAAAAAGGAATGCCTAAAATGTTCCCTGCACTCTAACAGTTGAGAGTACTTTGGCCATGAGCTTGAAAGGCAGGGAAAAGGGAGGTAAGGACAGAGAGAAAGAAGACAGGGACGTCAGTTCCACACCAGCACGATGGCGAGGGCCCCTCCTCCCAAACCTCCGCCAGGTCCAAGGATGGACATGGGAGCTGGGCTGCGGCCACTCACCCTGCCCAGGACATCGAGAGGTAGCTTCGAGTTCATCAGGACCGGCTTGACCTTGTCTCCAGACAGCAAGCCCTTGACGGGCAGCAGGCTTTCGAAAATGCCATCGAATTTGGCTTTTTCCTCCACCTGGGTGGGAGGGTGTCCAGGTGAGGACGAAGGGCACGGTGCCGTCCCCACCCAGCACGGGGCAAGTGGGAGCCACACTCTACAGAGCAGCCCGGGGGCCCTCAGGCAGGGCCAAGGTCTGGGAAAGGCGCTGAGCAAGGCCTGCTCTGGCCTGCCCCCGCAGCTGTGGCTGCCCTAGGGGACACAGGCCGGGTCCCTTCCCGGAAGGACAGCTGGCTCCTGAGACCCCCACAGCTCACTGAGACGAGTAACAAGCAAGTGATAACCAAGGTCAACTCAACACGGGGCCTCTGTTTCCAACAGCCCAAAGCTGGGCGTGCTGCTATGCACCTGTCATCCCAGCACCCCAGGAGGCTGAGGCAGGGGGATCATCGAGAGCTCAAGGCTGCCTGGACTACACAGTGGACCCAGTCTTACAAAACTGAAAAAAGAAGTAAAAGTGGGAATGTGTGGAGCTGGGGCATGGCTGGGGTGAGCCCACACTGAGCCTGTGCAGAGCCTGGACTCCAGCTCTGCAAATGAGCAGGGGACGCGCGGGCCACAAATCTGTGTTCTCCTTGGCGCACTGGAAATGGAGCTGGGCCGTGATATTCCCAACAGCCCTTTCTTTTTTTCTTGGAGCCAGAGTCTTGCTAAGTTCCCCAGGCTGGGTCTGAGCTTGTGAGCCCCCTGCCTCAGCCTCCTGAGGAGCTGGGATGATAGGCGTGGGCCACCATGCCCGGACGGTACGACGTTTTGCAGACACAGCACAGTGAAGGGCTAGAGCAATTCCACGTGAGGGGCAGCCCTGAGCGTCGCTGTCACTTACCCGCACTGCCCAGGGCGCCTCCGCAGAAGGCAGCGTGACCATCAGGGGGCTGCTGGTGTCATGCTGAGGAGAAACAGAAACCCCCAGGGCTGGCGCCAAGCTGTCATAGGAGAACACACCTGGCACACATGGGCCCTCAAACATTTGCACCACAGCAGCCGCGAGGTGGGGAGCACACAGGTGCCGAGCAGGGAGGAAACAGGCCTGGCTCACAGAGGCCCAGGACAGACGGCCGGGCTGCCCTGGGACGGCGCAGGCATCGGGCAGGGGGAGGGTGCGGACGCCACAGAATCGTGTGCATCACAACAGGCCATTGAGCTGCCTGGATCTCACCTCTACCGACAAAGGGAGGTGAGCCGCAAGAGGCAGGCTTGCGCACACCCACACACACACACACATGCACACACGCACACCTGTGTGGTGATGGCACTCACGAATTTGGGTGGCGGCATGCTCAGGTTCAGGTTGCTCAGCGTGACCTCGTGGCCGCTCTGGGCACAGGCCACCAGCCTCAGTGCCACGTAGAAGCCCTAAAACCCAACGGCATCATCAGACCATAGGCCTGGGGACTGCACTCCGGGGAGATGAGCGACCAAGGTAGCCACGTGGCCTCATAGCCGGGCCAGCCAGGCTCTGGGGACGGACAGCAGCTCCCACACAGTAAGGCACCGCCACTAGCAGTGGATGCCAGCGACAGACCAAATGTGCGTAGGGGTCTTAAAGAAACAGGTGGCGCCCACCTATTAGCCCAGCACTCTGGGAGGCTGAGACAGGATTTCAAGTTCGGCCCCACTTGGCAACTTAGCAATTTAGCGAGACCCTGTCTCAAAATAAAGAAAACAGGGCTGGGGATTTAGCTCAGTGGCACCTTGCCTGCCTTGTAAGCACAAGGTCCCGAGTTCAACCTCCAGTACAGAAAGAAAGAAAGAAAGAAAGGAAGGAAGGAAGGAAGGAAGGAAGGAAGGAAGGAAGGAAAGAAAGAAAGAAAGAAAGAAAGAGGGAGGGAGGAAGGGAGGAAGGGAGGAAGGGAGGAAGGAAAGAAGGAAAGAAGGAAAGAAAGAGAGAAAGAGAGAAAAAAAGAAAGAAAGAAAGAAGGCAGGCTAGGGATGTTGCTCATGCAATGTCCCTGCGTTCCACCCCTAGTGTGGGGCCTGGAAACGTGGCCTAGTGATTCAATGACAGGGTCCCTGCCTGGCTCGCACAAGGCCCCAGATCCCATCCCCAGCACTGCAAGGAAAATCAGCAACTTAAAATAAAAACCGTCAGCTTGACAAGAATCAACAAACACAATATAGTCTGGACTGAGCTGGGGATGTAGCTCAGTGGACCCTCACCTGCCTTGCAAGCACAAGGTCCTAAGTTCAATCCCTGGCACCGGGGAAGAAGAGTCTGGAGTAGACACAGCCATTCGGGGCACACTCGGACTCCCCAGTCGCAGTCCTCCCACTGGGACAGCAGATCTGAGCCCCGCCCCCAGGCCTGTGCTGCCACCCAGCACCTCTGCCACAGCTGCAGCAGCATCCAGAGCCTCAGTGGATTTCTCAACTGGCCAACTGGCCTAAGAACATACACTGGGTCTTTCTGGCTCTGTGTTTTAGTACTGAGGACTAACCTAGGGCTTGCACTGAGCCGCACCCCCAGCCGTTTCTAAAGTCTTTATATCTAGGCAGGGTCTCACCACGTTCCCCAGGCTGGACTCATGATCCTCCTGCCTCAGTCTCTGGAGGAGCAGGGATGACAGGTGTGGACCACCGCACACGACCCTGACATAAAAAGTCTTAAAAAGCATTTTAACCACTGGTAAGGTTGCAAAGTATTTAAAGACGGCCAACCAAGAGCGCTGGCTGGCCTGCGTAAGAGCCTTCATTTCCCTGGGACCCCTGCCAGTCTGAGGGTGGGGCTTCGCTAACAGCGCCGGGGGCGGAAGTGTGCTGCTCCGCCCCATGGGCATGCGCATGCGCACATACCTGTTTGTCCAAGAACCCTTTACCTTCCGGGTCGGCCAGGTCCCAAATCTGCGAAGACACAGAAGCCCGTGAGAGAGACAGGGACCGCGCTGTTCAGCGCCCCTCTCCCGCGCAGCGCTGCACCCCCTCACACACCTTCCCGAGGGTGACATCCGACAGCCCCGACTTCTTCAGGAACAATGCGGCCTCGCTCGCCCCGACTCGGCCAGTGTAGGCTGGGTCTACCTGAGGGAGGGCAACGCGGCGCTGACTCCTCGGCATCAGCTTAGGGAGCAGGACAGAGCACCGCAGGGCCTCACTCCCGGCTTGGGAGCACCGCTCCGGCCCCCAGACGGAGACGTGCGAGCCTCAGATCCAACTCACCTGCTTATAGTAAGATTCATACAACGGATTTCCACCGGGGATCTGCAACCAAACCAAGACATTGGTCAGAAGTACACAGACCCGCTGGGGAAAGTGTCACCCACATCGATCTTGCCCCGAGCTCCTGGGCTCAGCAGTCCTCCTGCCTCAGCCTCCCGGCAGAGTGGACTGCAGTCATACGTCCCTGGCTCCGCGACATTGTTACCCCGAAACAGACCAGCAAAGGCGAAAACGCATGCACCCCGAGCGCCACGCCACATAGGCTGTGCTCTCTCCACAGAGCGAGGCGTCTCCAGACCCTAGCCCGGCACTAATGGGCACACAGCACGAGGCAGCTGCGGTTCGGGTTGTGAATCCCCCACGCTGCCTGGGGTCCTCCCGCCCTCCTCCCCACCGGCCCAGCCATGGGGAGACGGGGCCGGGAAATAGCCCTGACCCCAGATGCCGCCCTTCGGGAAGACAGTGCCTTGCAGGGTCCACGGCAACCGTTCTGAGGGAGGGAAGAACATGGGCACCTGGTGGGGCCTGTACAGTCGTTGGTGCCACAGCTCCACGGATGGACCCTGACCCAGGCAGGGGATGCAGCACACGGAGCCGCCAGAGCTGCCACCAGCCACGGAGCTTGGGTGGAGGCCGCAGCTGGGCTGCAGTGGCCCCAGGGTCAGCTCCCTGATTCCGGCCGGCTCTGCCAGGCACCAACACATGGGCTGACACAGAATGGATGTGGGAAGGGGCACCAAGACTAAATGCAAACGGGGCAGCATGGCCATCTGCGGGAGAGGCCGATGGGGAGCGACGGGGACCTGAGGACGGGGCAAGCCAGGACAATGGGTACAGGGCTGCTGGACCCAGCATGGCAGACCCAGGAAAGAAAAGCCAAGGAAAGGCAGGACAAGCACATAGGGAGAGCCACCAGAAGAAGCACCCTGAGGACGGTCTCAGGTGACGCACGCCCGCCTCTCACCCTGTGGAGACACGTCCTCAGCAGCAAGCCTGACAGGAAGAACACAGCTGGGCTGCTGATGGCCTGTTGGGAAAGGGGCCATGGCTGGGTGCAGAAGGGCGGCACGGGACCTGGCCAGCTCTCAGCCCCACAGGCCACCCCTCAGGGCAAAGCACCTCTCGAAGTCGGAATCATGGACCTGAACTTGGAGAAGGCCCCACGGGGAGCAAGAGAGCACTTCACAGCTGCTGCAGCGCCAGAGAAGAAAGGCCAGGTGTGCCAGTCATGCGTCATCCCTGGGCCTGGAAGGAAGGCCGAGGAAGGAGGATGGCAAGTCCAAGGCCAGCCTGGCACTCAGCCACTTAGGGAGCGCTGGCTCCAAAGTGCTGGTTACTAACTCTGCCAAACTTGCCAAGCTTGCAGGGCCCAAGAGGCACAACCATGGGAAGTGAGCGGGCCCAGCTGAGCAGCCCATCCACACGCGCTGAAGCCACCCACAGGGCTGCTCTGTCCCTGGGCACCAAGTGGAGGGACACGGCGGGCGAGCCTCGCAGGAGGGACCCGCCGGGGACACTCGCACCTCCCCCACCCCGGCCACCTGTGTGCCACTGCCCAGGCCACCACCGTCACTAGGCACGTGCCCATTCTTTCGCGCCAAGCTGGGGCTCAGTGCGACAGGCTGAAAGTCTCTCAGCAGCAGTGGTGTAAGAAGTATAAAAATGTACCAAATAAGCTGGGTGTGGTGGCGCACGCCTGACGTCCCAGCACTTGGGAGGCTGAGGCAGGAGGATGGCTGTGAGTTTGAGGCCAGCCTGGGCTGCATAGAGACCCTGTCTCAAAAAAAACCCAACCAAATAGTACTTTAAAGCTTTTGTTATTGCTGTAATAATTACAGATACAACATCACTAACTGTAAAAAAACAAGTGGTTGTTTATTAATTTTGGGAATGTACGGAGTTGTAATCATCCAACTCAGGAGCATGTGATCCTCTCTCTCCACGTGGAACGGGAACCCAGGGCCTCCACACTGAGCTACATCCCCAGCCCCGTTCATTCTCATTCTCTCTCTCTCTCTCTCTCTCTCTCTCTCTCTCTCTCTCTCTCTCTCGTACCAGGGATTGAACTCAGGACCTTGGGCTTACCAGGCAGGCGCAGTGCCACGGAGCTGAATCCCCAGCCCTAGCCCTGTATTTTCCTTCGTGAGAGGCTCCCACTAGGTCACCACCCTGTCCAGCACGGGGCAGTGAGAATGTATGTGATCTTCCTGCCTCAGCCTCCAGAGCCCCCACGCCCAGGTGGCCTTGTGTCTGACTAGACCTTTGTGAGCTCCGTCTTTCCGGGGAAGAACAGGCCTCGGTTCACACTGTCTCCTCCATGGGCTGCTTTCTGCAGCACCAACATCTTCGAGCGGCTACTCTAGAGATTGAGGCTCACAGTGAGCAGAACTGGACCTCAACTCTGCGTGTAGGTGCGGGACTTGAGGCCACGCATTAGTCTCCGGGAACAAGATGAAGCAGCCAATGGCTGGTACTCCTGCTGCCCTCTTTGATGCATTAACGGAAATGTTGAAAATCACAGCTGCTCCTCAGGCAGCAGCCGTGCCCGTCTCTGTGCAGCCAGACCCCCCCCCTTCACTCTGTGCGCCCTAGCGGCGGCAAGCAGCTCACCTCGCTCCATACGCACGCAGCCTCGTGCCAGCTGATGCTCACTACCACAGGCCGAATGAAGGGGTGGGGTTTTGCTTTCTGGTAGCCAGGGCCTCCCCACGCAGGCAAGTGCTCGCCACTGTGCCTGCTGCACCCCAGCCTTTTTCTTGTGTTTTGAGACAGGGTCTTGCCGAATCACCTGGGCTGAGCTTACACTTTCAATCCTCCTGCCTCAGCCTCCCAAGGAGCTGGGTTTACGGGTGCACACTTGCCCTGGTAGAAACGCATTTCTGACTCACAGCACTCGGATTTACCCGGGGTTACTGGATGGAGCCCTAGGGTGAGTCAAGGCACATCTGAACACACCTGCCTGCAAACACAACGGTGGTGTCGGCCCCGGTGACGGCTGTGTCTGCGTGCATGGTGCTGGGTGCTCTGAGCAAGCACTGTCACAGCTACACCCTTTGCCCTGCAAGGACATTTCTGTTTTTCCTTTCTCGGGGAAGAGCCTCACTACGTTGCCCAGACTGGCACTGAGAGTCTTCCTGCCTCAGCCTCCTGAGTGGCAAGAATTACAGACATGCGCCCTGTGCCCTGGCCGCAGTCAGAATACAGCCAGGGTGTGGTTGGCTGTGACATTTCATGGGTGCCTTTCACGAGCACACAGATCGCCTGAGAGCCAGTACAGCCGCGTTCCCGGGATGGCTGGGCCTGCGGGGCCTGCAGGGAGCGCTCAGGCACGCGCACACACAGGAGCAGGGCAGGAGAGGGGCCTGCGGACAACCCGCCCCTCCACTGGGGGGCTTCTCCCTGGGCGGCCGCACAGGGCCTTGCCAGGACAGCCGCCTGTCACAGGGCAGGGTGACGCCACGGAGCAGCACTAGGAACAGAGAGCACGCCCGTCCCCCGCTCAGCTCAGGGAAGCAGGCTCACCCCAGGACCCTGAGCTAAATGCCTGGAGAAGAGGACGGCACTTTGGAACACAGGACAGCGGTTGGTGGGACACCTACGCAGCACTGGTGACCTGGGGTGGGCGCTCCGGACTAGAGGCATTCTCAGCACCATTCCCTGCGCACCTCGAGGAAGGGCCGCCTGGCACTTTGCCACACAGCACGGGACTGCACAGGTCAGCCGAGGGACCACGAGAGGCATCATCTCAGCACGAAAAGGGTCAGCCAGGCGAGGTGGTCTGTCCTCTCCTCCCAGCACTCGGGAGGCTGAGGACCAATCTGAGGACAGTGTAAGACTCTGCCCCAAAACAGCAACAGAAGAACCAGGGATGGGGGCACGGTTTACAAGAAATACAGGCAGGAATGAACCAGGCAGGCGGTAACGTGAAACCGCTGTGCGGAGGAAGACAGCCAGTCGGCCCGGGTGGCCCACCTGCGCTCTGGGCTTTGCAGGCCTCCTCTCTCCCGCCACCAAGCCCTAAAGACAGTCCAGCCTGTGTGGCGGGCAAAAGCATGGGCAGTGTTTATAGGCAAACACCTTTACCACACATGGGCCCGCCTTCTTCCTTCCACCCTTAGACCCCGTCTTTTCCCCATGCGGGCCGTGCCCCGCTCCTGCATGACCAAGTCGACACTCTGTGGACTTCTGGTCCCCGAGCTCCACTGCAGAAACACGCCTGTGCCCTGCATCAGAACATGCTGCGCTGCTCCGGGGCCTGCACTCCACATACGTCTTTGAGTGTGTACATTATCTATTTATTTGGAGACAGGGTCTTGCTACGTAGCTCAGGCTGGCCTTGAACTTGCAGTGATTCTCCTGCCTCAGCCACCCTAGTGCTGGGATGATAGGCGTGCGCGACCATGCCCAACTCGTGTATACTTTTAAAATTCTAATAAACCTCTTTATGCCTTAAAAGAAAAAAAGCTAAACACAGCCAGGCACGGTGGTGCTCAACTGTCTGAGCATGCTGGGAGACTGAATCAGGAGGATCAAAAGTTTGAGTCCCACCTAATCTAGCAAAACCCTGTCTCAAAAAAAATAGGCTAGCAGGCTAGGGATTTAGCTCAGTGGCTCCGACACCTGGCTCACAAGCGCAAGGTCCCGAGTTCGAACACCAGTACCAAAAAAAAAAAAAAAAAGGCTAGGGCTGTAGCTCAGTGTGCAACCCCACCCTCAGCCTGTCCAAGGAGGCCAAGGAGCACGTGCACAGAATGCAGAGGAGACAGCGAAGGCTGCCAGCTGGGGAGGAAGGAGGCTGCCTGGGGCGGGGCTGCAGACAACCAGAGAGGTTCAGGGGCCACCCCTGGGCCCCAGCCCAAGCCCTGGACCAGGAACAGATCCAGACATACATCACTTTCACACTCCTTAATGTCAGAAATCCCAAAGGAAACCTGGGAAGCGGGGCCATCTGCACACTGACACAGATGCAGATGCTCACACTCTCTTACACCTCTCACACACGTGCGCCCCTCCTCCTCCCGCCCCCGTGGGCACTCGGTAAACACGCAGCGCCCTGCCCATCTCGGTACAGATCGCCTCCTGGCCTGGGACCACCCACCCAGATGCACCCCGGCCCACAGCCCAGCCTGGAAGGGGCGCTCCCAGACCCAACTGACCAGGTGCTGCCCAGCCAGTTCCTCCATACGCTCTTGACACCTGCTGCTCTACAGCACTGGCGACGGAAGCCAGGACCCTGCTCAGCCAGGCTTGGGGCCCCCTTTCCCACCCTGTGCCAGGCCACAGCGCCCACCCACAAGCAGCCTCTGCCCGGGGGGGACCACGTGCCCACCCTGAGTCCGGGCAACAGGAAGAGACGTGTAGGCAAGCGTGTTCCTCTCGGAGGGCAGCTGGGAGGAAGCCCAGGGGCCGCTCCTCCAGCCACAGTGGTCCTCACTGCCAGCCCGGCTGCGGTGGTACCGGGGCTCACCAAGTGCTGGCTACGGCAGAGGGAATGAATGCTCACCTGCTCCCCTCTGTTCTCAGGTTTCTTTGGGGGGGGGTACCGGGGATTGAACTCGGGACCTTGCGCTTGCCAGGCAGGCAGCAGAACCACAGAGCTAAATCCCTGGCCCCTGTTCTCTCAGTTTTTGAGACTGGGTCTTGGTACGTTGGCCAGGCTGGTCTCAAACTCGCCTGCAAGTGATCCTCTTGCCTCAGCCTCCCAAGTATGTGGGGCCACCGACATGTACCAGCCCCCACAGTGAAGTCAGCCTGAAGACCCAAAGCAAAAGCCTGTCCAGGAGAAAACCCGATTCCAGGGCCCACACAAGCAAGCAAGCGAGCGAGCAAGGGGAACAGACCCAAGCACCCCAAGCGCTGCGGCACTCAGGAGCCCAGCACAAGCCCAGCCTGCCCAATTAGGTCAGCTCACGTGGGCAGTGGGGCCACTCCCAGCAAAGCACCAGGATCTCGATCCTGTTACTCTTCCCCCTGCACCCTGGCTGCCATGAGATCACCTTCCTCCTCCCGAGGGGCCCAAGGACAGAGCTGGGTGCTCCCCACTGAGCCACACCCCAGCCTGGAAAGCAGCTTTCCTCAGGCAGAAAGGCTGTGAGCTCCCTGGGCTCCAGCCCCCGTGGCCAAAAGAGAAGAGCGAGGAGGAGGACTGGCGCAGGTGTCCCCCTCACCAGTGGGCAGGGAGCAGGGAACCCAGCCCCAGGCACAGCACCAGCCAGTGCCATTTCTTTGCATCAAGGGTCCTCATC